AATTTTAAAAATACATCAATTTTGCATGTCACTGCAACCTATATATTAAACTACATCTACATAATACTTTTATGTGCATTTTCATATTCATATTTTCATTTAATTAATAGACTGATAGTCTTGATGACAAAACTTTAGAACTGTTAAATTGAATCATTCTGTCTGAGAAGTTCATATTTCCTGTGAAGTTAAGTTCTCTTCTGTTTTTTCTTACTTTAATCTTAAGGACATCTTTCCAGGCAGAGGAAGAGACTCAGGAACTATGAAGGACAGAGCAATAGGATTCCACTACAACAAAATATTGCATCTACTTCTTTTATATGGGGCTATTTCAGACTTTGGATATCTGCAAATAGATGTAGATTTATTTATGTGGATATTTATAATGTCACTAAGACAGCACAGTAATATGTGCTCAGTTCTTTAATAAAACTCTGAAGAAACAGCATAGGTTTATCACCATAATCTTTCTTTTCTTTTTCTTTTTTTTTTCCTTTTTTTCCTAAGCAAATTTAAAATATAGCCTATAGCCTCTAAATAAGATCAACTTATTGAAAAACTGCTGGCAAGGCTACAGGAATATGTACACAGACACTGCATATCCGAGGAAAAAAATAAAGCAACCATCTACAGCAATATACTTAAGGACTTAAAAAAAAATCTGTTTGTTAGCAAAAGGGGCCAAACACACACTGAAGTCAAATCACATTCACCAAGCCCATAAAAAATGTACAGACATTTTTTATATCATAGTTTATTTAGTTTATATATTCTAAAATAAATAAGAGATTTGACTATCGCTCTTAAGAACAAAAGAAAACATTTCCTCTGTCAAATATGAATTTGGATTGCAAATAAACCCTTTGCTTTGTTTCTTTTTTTACTTTTATTACTTTACTGCCTTTGATCAAGGCAGTACGTACTCTTGTCTTAAAAGTTATGGAAAATAAAATCAGTGTAGAGAGAATATACACATATATCTATCTCCATGTCTCAACAGAAGATACTTATGTATCTTAATTGGTAGCTCACATTCACTGAAATACTGATATTAATAAAAACAAAACTATCTAGCTCCTCTGGTATTTGAAGCATTGAGAAGCATGGAGAAAAATAAAATTAGATAAAATCTACTTTCAATGTACAGGGCTTCATTTTGGATGCTTCATGCTTTCCTGCACAAATGAAGATGAGGGCACAAAGCTACCTCTTACATTATAAAAGTTCAGCCACACTGCATGCAATTGCATGCGAGGGATATGAGTGATCATGAGGAAAAGACAGGGGCTTTTGTCTTTCCTCTGTTCACAAAATCACAGAATCACAGACTGGTTGAGGTTGGATGGGACCTCTAGAGACCATCTAGTCCAACGCCCTGCTCCATCTGGGACACCCAGAGCACGGGGCACAGGGCGGCATCCAGGTGGGTTTGGGAGATCTCCAGAGAAGGAGACTCCACAGCCTCCCTGGGCAGCCTGTACCAGGGCTCTGTCACCCTCACAGTGAAGAAGTTCCTCCTCACATGGAGACGGAACTGCCTGTGTTTCAACTTGTACCCACTGCCCCTTGTCCTATCACTGGCCATCACCAAACGAGTTTGGCCCCATCTATTCCTAGTCATCTCTCCAGTGGATGCTACATAGCAACACAAGGAATCGTGTGACTTTTTTTTTTTTTTTTTTTTTTTTGTAAATAAAGATGCATAAATCTAACATTTGCTACCAGTTGTTGATGATGATAAATCGCACTTTTTTTGGCCAGGAAGTTCCATATAGTTAAATCCGATATACAAGCAAACATAAAAGCCACTGCAAGTTCTCCTTTCCTAGTTCCTTGGTAAACAATACATACTTGCTCTATTATTATTCTTATAATCTGCAGTGCATGTTTGTGTTTTCCAACTGCATATGCTATCCTACATCTTCATAATTCTTTAAATCTTTCATCCATTTTCATAATTCTTTAAACCATATCTATCAGTTAAACAATTAAACATCATTACATTATTCAAAAAAAATTAATTTAATTCAAGAACAGTCTAAGATTTTCTGAAAAAAGACATGGCATAAATTTCTCTAGTAAAACTATCTGGAAAAAAACCAGACTTTTTAACTGAGCTCACTCATTTGAATGCTGAGCTTAGCTACAATGGCCTCTGTCTTCTCAGTGCAGTCATTTTGCTTAAAGCATTTCTCCTCTAAATACCAGTTGCCAGTTATTTAACTGCAGAAGACAATAGGAAAGCTAAAACGTGCTCGTTACATCTTTGTCAGCAGGAACTTGCACTGTGAATTTACTTCATACGGTCTCTTGAATGCTGCATACTAAGCCATTCTTCAAGGCTTAGTTATTTACTTACTTGAAAGCTTTTTACTTCCAAGAATTCCATTTACTTTTCTTTAGCTGCAGTGTAAAAGTTTCTCATAGTTTCCTGAGCTTCTTGGAAACAAAATAAGTATAGCATATTTCTACATCTGTGATGTCTGGTATAGCATGAATAATACTGGTGAGAACAAGAGACTATCTAGGAACATCAGTATGACAGATGAACAAAATCAGATTCTGCTTTTTATACCAATTGTTTTACTAGTACTAGATTGAAAGGTATTGTGGAACCAGATAAATTAACATTTTATCCTAACTATGACTCTGTTAGTTGATTAGAAACACCTAATGTTTTTTCCTAATATTTTTCTAATTTAAGGCTTCTCATCTGCTCACTTGACAGATGGACTAAATCTATACTTCCTTATGATTTATGCCTTGTTCTGTGGCCACTGATGCAGACATAGCAGAATGGCTAAATCACAATAAAATGTGCTGAATATAACGAATATCTAAGGAATTATGAAGGTATTTTTAAACAGCTAAAATATGTAGAGTAATTCTGTTCTGTGCAGAGGAACATGGAGGGATATCTAAACATATGGATCTGTTAATCTGAGACTTGTTTAAAATGCTGTTTGGTGTTGAAATCTAGGCTAAGGCTATGATCCCATACTGCTGGATATTGTGTTTGTAGGAACAGTGCATGTCTTTTGGAAGTGGCAGTTGTTCCTAAGAGCTTGGTTGGTCATGCAGCATTGGAAATGCAGGTACATACATACTTAAGTGTTCAGAAGGCTCTAAGAAACCAATTTTGAATTATGATGGCACATACTGCATAGCCTGTTCTTTTCTGCACTGTGATCACATCCATGTCTGTCAGTGCTTTTATTTTGCTACCATTAATTAATTCATTTAACACTTAAAAATATTACCTCTGCTTCCCCCATTAACTTTAATATTTATAGTTTTTCTTAATTTTTAAATACGACTATATATCTTTTTTCATCCCTAATCAAAGTAACCTTGTTTACGAGATGCAGGACCTGCTGAAGATCTATTTGAAATGTTTTTTTTTTTACCTTGGCAAAGCCAATCTAGCAATGACTGAAACATGCTATATTGCATGTGGTTTAATTTCCACATCTTTTTCATTTTAAACTTCTCCTTGATTTCTCATCAATTTCTCTGGGTCCTCCATAGTCTATATTGTTACTTTGTGCAGCATGAAGAAAGGTAAGGAAAAAATCTTTGTTTTATTGCTAAAAATATTTAAGAGTAACAAAGCAAAATCATATCAAAAGAAACAATTCAATTCAGGTAGCACATGGAATATGATTTTGACAGTGTTTTACAAAATCTAATGTTTTATCTGACATATCTCTCAGAAATTGCTATTAAACTGGGTTTCCTTGAGATATCAAGGAAATTTCCTTGAGTAGGTGAGAGGGTCATATTTGGGAATGAACTAGGGGAGAACAATTTTTTGCAAAAATAAATAGAGTTATCAAGACAATCTTTTTCAAAGGTGGTTGTTACAACCTTAATCTTTTTCTTTTATGATTTAGTATCTACTACAAAATGCAGGCACTGACTGGCTCATTGATACCAGAACTGACTCGAAGTTCATCAAGGTCTCGGAAAATCTACGAGCTGACTTGTGCTGCCTTTTTTTGTTTATAGCTTTCACCCTGTGCTATAGAGGATGAAAAATTATGTTAGGGATCTGTCTGACACTGCTTTCCCTTGTAAATCCCTGCTGTAGTTTTGGAGGTAGGTGGAGCAGTCAGCAGGGGGGCATGGAGGTGTCTCTCAGGTTGTAGGAGAACTAAGTGGGGTGATCTGGGGCACAATTTCCTTTATGATATGCCTAAGGATGCAAAGCTGATAATCGCTTCTCCAGTTTTAATTACAGAAGAGAGTAATTACATGTATTGTAAGCGTTAAAATATAAGGACTCTTATAATAATTTCTAACATTTCGCAAAGCTGTTCTAGAGGCTTGAAGATGTAATTAGAGCAAACAAAGCTTCTGTATATACTCAGATGATCTTTAATACTCAACCAACAGGTTGGTGGTGGCTCAAGCTAAAACACAATAAACTACATAAAATCCAGTATATCAGTAGGAGAAAAATCTACGTTCTGCAGATTCAGACTTGTGTTTCTACTGCTTCTGGCTAATGTTAAGACTATGAAATACTTCCCTCCTACTGGGCGCACTTTTTGCTTAATAATTAGTTCTATTGAAATAACTGATATTGAAATAACGTGTTTCATAGGGCAAAGTACAAATAGAGTATCTGCTGAGAACACTGCAGTTCACATCATTAAATGTTCATGAGTTATCACTTCCTTCAGCTTTGTTCTCGTGAAGAAACAGCTCCTTGTCTTGTATTCCCTTTGCTTCCTTGTTAACAGTTTCTCTGCCCGTTTTTTACCTTTTCTATCTCACATACTTTCACCATAAGCACCTCTGCTTGCTTTTGGGGCTGGGAGAATTACAATATCAACACACTACAGACTGCAAAAGAGGGAAATCAATGGAAAACCAGCCTTTTAGCTCCTGCTGCTGTGATCATTAATCACTTCTGTGAAGATTGGGAGAAAAAAAACAATCATTCTGAAATTAATTTCAGTAGTGAGCGCTAAATAGACATTAAGGAATACACTTACTTCTCTCTGTTGAATATGATGAATTCTTTCCTAACAGTTTCCAGGCACTGCTGCAGGTGTACGTTCTTAAAAAACAGTATGAAGAGGTTGATTAAAAATGACAGAAAATCATAGACAAAAATCACATAACAGAAATGATACTGAAAAAAAAAGTTTATGAATGAATGCTATCAAGAGGCATTTTGCAGCCTCTTCAAAGGTACACAGATAGCAGAATCAATCTTTCATTCTGCCAGGAAATGTTCAGCACAAAGGATCTCTGAGGATTTTTCTTTCTGACAGCTCTAAGAAGAATAGTTTGCAGGAGCATTCACAGTCATTAGCAGAGGCAACAGAAACTGTAAAGCCTCATAAAAATGAAAATCCAAGTCTGGAAAGTGGTCATTTCTTAATCTTCCTGAAAGTTTAGACTACATATACAATGGATCTTCCTATGTGGGACACATTAGGAGACACTGTGTGAGATGGCTTTTAAACATTTATAAGGAAGGAGTTTGTTCACTGCATATTTTTCGTTTTCAGTACTAGCAGTGAATAAATACTCCTTATAACTATCTGCCCGTGTGTGGGAAGCATATTTGCCAACTGGCAATGGTTTTTCATACTTTAAATGAGCGTTTGTAAGGATCTTAAGAATGATTATAGCATAAAAGGCTGTTACTTTTATGACTGAAATAAATGGTTGCTTTTCATCTTGCTTGGGAGATGGTTTATGCAGCTATATACAAAACGACATACATGGAGACCAAGTCTATTTTCAGAGATGATAAAACTGAACTGACTATGTCCATTAGAGAAAGTACATGAGATGCCATTAACTGAAGCTACAGTTCCCAGCTTACCAGTGGGCAGCCTTCTTTAGCTGCATCTTTCGATTTGTTTTTGGCAAGTCGCTTTTTCTTTTTATGGAGAGGTTTGGACTCTAAAATCATTTCTTCTAGTTCAAATGTTGGATCACAGTTCAGTCTTCCTTTCTGGTACAGAAGGACATAAAGTTACTCTTTGAAGCATTATTGCATTGTTTTGGTCTATCCAAAGAGTTTTAATAGCATCAATAACAATCCAGCTGCCTACCCACAAGTGCAACTGTTCTTGAAAACTGTTCTTTTCAGGCTTGGAACAATGCTTGAGGATTAAATAACACAGTAAAGGTAAAAATCACATTATAAAGCAACTACAAAGAGTTATATTCTCTTCCTAGTTATACAAACTATCCTAGTACTTTTAGAGTGACTCCAATCGTATTACTACAATCAGAGAGGGCAATCTGCTTCCAAGTATTCATCAAAACATAAATTAGTGTTGTAGAACAGAACCAGTAACTGTAATAATGCAGGAAGGATGGGAAGTGCCTCTTCAAGAAGAGACCTTACTGTTAAAATATATATATCCCCTTGTATTTCTGAAGGGCTGCGGATGGGTTCAGGTGCCTGGATGCTACTCAAGACACCAAAGGAAGGAGGGAGATGACCTTGAGTTTTTTACATAAATGACTGCAGACACGTTCCCATGCAGAATATCTTGCTTAATGCTGTATTAAGAAAAATGGGGGCCAGCATCTGGAATTAATTTCTGCATTGGAAATCTTGATCTTGTTCCTATTGAACTCAAAGGAAAACCTTGCCTACAACAGAAATCGTTTGCTGGTATGAACAGGCCAGCAAACTCCTACTTTTAGGGTTATTTGTACGTTTTTTTTTCTAACTTATTGATGCTGTGGTGAAGCTGAGTGTGGTAATCTTGTACTATCTCTACCAATGTGGAGATGCCAACTCTATGCCAGATTTTTCTAATCTAAATTTCCATTCAAGTAACTATCTGATGTGAGGTTTTTGAGAGCACTCGGCATCTTAAATTGTAAGGAATAAAAAATGAGAAAAGCTGCTCTCTTCCGTCAGCAGCATTTATATCTCCATTGATTAAATGCAGAAAACTGACTCTATTATCTTTTTCTTTCTTATTACCTTTTCACTTGTTTTCCTAATACATCTGATCAACCAGATGGAACGAGCCCTGTAATATCAGCCTCTAGCTCAAAATGACTGTTAGAGCTTTTAATATGACTTTTAGGTTAATCTGAGTGGATAAATGTCACAGTCAGATTTAGCAGGAACTCTAATACACACCTGGTTGGGGAGAAAATGTAGCTATCCCATTTTCTTTATCTCTTTATCCATGTTTGCAATAAAGAAGTATAAACAAACCTTAGTTTGTTACAAATGTTTAGAGAAGAATTATGGCACAAAATAACTTCTATGACTTGGCAAACTGGCGATAGATTTTGTCACCACAGTCATTGCTTTTTATTCATTGCCCTCATTCAATTTATGGGCCATTTTAAATGAGCAAAACAAGCATTCTGAAAATAGTAATGAAACAGAGCCACAAAACAGAAACCACCAAATACCCAAATAGAATATGAATTGCCACAAAAGAAATAGATATCTTGAAATAGTATGTTTTAGGTGAAGAGGATCAGCACACCTGAATATTAGAAGGTGTTGCAAATGTTATTCAGATGCATGGATTTCAGACCTGCTGTGCTCTTGGGTCTCTGTGGTGCAATGTTAACATTGACAATTAGTTATACTAACATAGCTCAAATGCAAACTCTGGAAAGCATTTTTGTCATTTGAAAAAGAGCAAAAAGTGAATCAAGGTTAATTAGCTTTTGGTTTGATCTAATGAGATGGGCCAAGTTTTCTCTTAGGTATGTCTGAGCACATGAAAGACGAATCCAAAGTAAAGCTTTTGTCAGGAGCAGATCACTGAAAAGCAACAAACACAAGTGCCTTTTAGTAAACACTTGAAACAACGGTGACGATTAAGGTTGGACTTTGCAAGCACAGTTCAACTGGAGCATTAACTTACATTAGGAACAAAGCCGGGCGTCACTGATTTCTCTAGAACAGCATCCCAGTTGACATCAGCTAGGTATGGAGAGTTCTGAATGTCTGCAAGGCTGGAAAGGCGGCACTCCGGGTCCTTAGTGAGGAGCTGTGATCAAGACAAGGCATTTTCTAAGGAACTGGATGCCATGTAAAAGCAGAGATGTATCTCACAGACAAATTGTATGACACACAACTTATTGTGAGAAGATGGCTAGGGAATCATCTAACCTTCTAGAAGGCCCGATCTTAAAAAATAAAAATAATAACTTAGCTCATAGGATATTAAGACAATTTAATTGCCACCAGATGGCTGTTCCAGGCCTGAAATATAGAAATGAATTATCAATAAAAGCCTATTTACAAGTACACAAGAGTCCAAGTGACATGAAACATTAGAGTTCAATGCTACCTACCAATTTGCACTTAGTCTTTAATTTATTGGAAGAAATTATTACAGTGAGCATCCTGGCAGCAATTAAATTCAACCACCTCATTGCGCCATCTATCAAAAATAGATTGCTCATTGCAGCAAAGGAAATTGATCTTCTATTGCTCTTTTCACACATTCAGAAAGGCTACCTGCTGAAACCATCCAACCAAGATTGATGATTTCAAATACCTAGAAGAGGCAGATGAGCCTTGCAGCATGGCCAAGCAATTAAAATAAATGAATGTGTGGGGATGTTAGGAGGAAAGCATGTTCCAGGGCCAGTATGTGTGCCAGAAGAACGCCCATCTTGCAGCTACTGACATAGACCATGAGATGACTGGACTTTTGTTGTTGCAATTGAAGCAACATGGAGCAGAGAGACATAGGGTCCCTTTATAGGCACTCTTGCCAGAGATTTTAGCAGTAATTCAGTGAGAGCAATGGTCCTTCCTTCCCTCTCTTGCATCTGCCCCTTGGACTGAAGGCTGGGACCCACGGTGGAAAACACTGATTCCTAAAGTAATTCTACTAACGTGAACTTGTTTTAAAATAAACAGAAATACTAGACTCTTATTTCCTCCAGGGCACTAACGGACTCCTGTTTAAATCAAAGACTAATCTAGCTTCTAAAGACATAATATGGCATCACAAACATTCAGAAAAGTCTAAAAATAAACTCTTTTTTTCCTAATCCTTGAAATTTTAGCTACACAGATTGTGAGCAGTATCTTGCTCACATAATGCTGTCCAATTGCTGGAGGGACTGCTGGGAGAGCGAGGGAGAGGGCACTTCATCTTTCTTACCTTTTTCAGTAATGCTATCATGCCCTTGCACCACGTGGATGAGTAGTGAACTCTTTCAATCTTGAACATGTTGAGTATCTCATCAATGGGGGTGGCCGAGTGAATTTCATAGGGCCGCTGGGATGAAGATAAATCAATATCAAGTCAACGAGAATGGATAAAAGACTGTAGAGCTCAGCATTGCTTATCTTGGAAATACTGAAACACCACAACATCTTAAAACAACTTTGAGGCTAATCCTTCTGTGTGTGTGCTTTTCTTTGGTTTTAATGAATTTAATTATGTAGAGATGCACTTTCTCTTCAAATCTATTTATAAAAGAAGCATCAGTTCAAATTAGATAGATGAGTAATTTTATTCTTGCCGCATACGATGTCATATGTGTGTTATTTACTATTTTATACTTGTAATGGTAAAAAGTATTTGATCTAAAGTGACATAGTGCAATAGTGGTGGCTTGAGGAAGTTTTATCATCCTTAATTTATCAAGCAGTAGAGAGAAAAATTCAAAAATGTAGTGCACACATAAAAAAAACTGCCTAAAAACACAGTAAAAAATATCTCGCTTATAACCCTCTTCATTTTTCTCTTTTGAAATCTAAAATTAACCCATTATATGAGCCTACAGCTGACACAGCTCTAGTACACTGTATTTGCATTGTCTGAATTCTTCTATAGGTGAGGAGAAGCTCAAAGGTCTAAAATGTTGTGAGAAGAATCCTGGGATCTAGTCTCACTGAAATGTAGTATCTGGAAACAAAAAGAATTGCCTATAACTTAGGTTCTCATTAATTATGAGGAACTTATTTTTGAAGTCATATATCTGTAAACCAAATTGCTAGATTGCTACTTTGCATTGATAGACTTTTTCACTGTCCATCATTCTGCTCAGCTTCATCTCACCTAAATCCTTGTTGCCTCTCTAAGCAGATAGTCCAGATATTTTAGACTAGTACTTTAAGCACACAAACAGGCTGACTTGTCGTGTGCATCATGTTCTTTGATTTGATGGAGCTGATGTTGATTTGATTTGATGTTGAGCACAAAGTTTTAGTTTTAGTTCATTTTTTTTTTGATTGCTGGGTCTCATTATTAGTGGCTGGAAAATAAGAGAAATGTGCCAGCAACATGGTCTGCAGTCATCTTCCTGCCATGGGAGTCAAGGCAGCAGTTTAGCACCAGTTGCAAAATCTAGGGGAAAAAAAACACCTGTTTTTCTAGTATGTACTAAGGCGTGGGTTGCCATCCACCCTCCGACTTGCTCAACGGGAGAGAACGGCTCCCTAGTGCAGCACAAGCAGCTGGCTGGAGCAGGGACAGATGGCAATGTTTTTATTTAAAAATTGGTTTGATTCAGCCTCTGCTTTGCTTTGCCCCTCGACAGATAAACTTATTCAGAGGCAACTGCTGATCTTGGCAAATGGATACCTCTCTATAAAATTTTTCATTTATTAGAGTAACTAAGAATCTTTCGTGGTTTGTATTGGGAGTGCAGCTTTACTTGCACAATCATTCATTATGCTCCTTTCTTGGAGAAACCCATTGGCGAAAAAGATGGATATTAAAACAGCAGTGTGTTCTTTCAATTTGTTGTATGTGCAGCTAGTACCACCTTTTGTGATTAGAACTGAGTATGTATTTATCACTGCCAGATCTTAACTGTTCAGGTTAAAATACTCCATCCTGGGAACACTTAAGCCTAAACACTCAGTAATCTTTCAGAACGATGGCAGCAAAAAAAAGGCTAAGATTTTTTTTTTTTTTTTTTTTTTTTTTTAATGCTCCTATATTTTGAGAACAGATTTCGCTTGGAAGAAGTCTTTGCATCAGGAGTAGCACTTCTGACATTCCTATGGAAATTCAAAAATTTTTGGTCAAATAATAACAAACACTGAAAACTCTGCTTTTATGGACTGAAGGAACAACATGCGTGTACTCTGAATCTCAGTTTTCCTTCTAAAAGTGGGGATAATAATTGTCCTTTATTTTATTTTATTCCTTTATTTTATTCATTCCATATGAAGCTGTGAGATCTTTATGGGCTGAATTATCTTAATTAGTGCCTAGTAGGACAGGGGAGCAGTACTGTGCTAGTGTTATATGATAATAAATACCCTCCCCTTGAGCACAGCATTTTGCAATGCAAAAAAAAAATCTTTTCCAAAATAGGAATTAAATGTAAAAACCCTCTACTTAAGCTAAATATCATGATCATTTCCATAGGGAATAATAGATAGTTAACCCAATAAATTCAATCCTTTGGACCAAAATTGAAAAGAATTTTCCAATTTTTTTTTTTTTCTGTGAAATTCAACCATGCTCAGGAAGCCTTTTTGTTAAGCTTATTCATATAATTAATTAGATAAGTAATGAGTGCACTGGCAGACAAGCATTTTCTGAAGCTAGGCCAAATATCTTAGGATATTATATTTGCTCTTTTAGGGTATTAGCCAAGTGAATCAAAAGTATAATAATGAAAAGTATAAAGTAGAGTATAATAAAGTTACCCAACTGCTCTATAGAAAAAATTATAAAAAATTACAAATTAGCCTTTTTCTTAGCACACACCAAAAGCCTATGACCATTTGAGGTAAACTATCACAAAGAAATTGACAGTGGGAGAAAACTTGCCCCAAAATGTTTCCAATTGGGAAAGGCTGAAGGTTGCATTCCAGTCCCAAACCTTGGCCTCCTTCACTGGAAGTTTACCATGAATGATCTGTTCAGGGGGGAACTGCCATCTTTTGGATTTCTGCCAGGCAATGTGTTAAATAAAAACCAAAACCTCACATTCTTACCCAGCCCCTCAGTAACTCATATGCTGTAATTCCTAGCGACCACCAGTCTACGGGGTACGAGTATCCTGGGCCACCATCCATAAACGCCTGGAACACTTCAGGAGCTAAAACAACAAATCAAATCCAACAAAGAGCATTATATTAAAGTTAGGCTATAGACTTTGAATTTATTTGAATTTTCAGAATGAACAAGGATGCAATTAACTGGAATTAAAGGCATTTGTTAACGCTGAATCTTCAGGAGGCAGCTCATTGGCAACGAGTGCGTTAGAGCAATGAGCTGAAAGGTGCTTTGCTGCAATGGCTGAGAGGTGCAGATGAGTTCCTCCCTTGGTGTATGCAATACTCTCATCTCTCTACCAAAGCAGAGTTCCCTAAGGGGGTATCTACATCGGGTTTTGATTAACCACACAGGCAGAGCTGAGCAATGAGATGAAGATGGCCTATGGCTTAGTCTCCAAAAGACACTGGCTTCATGGGCAGCTTTCAAATGAAGCCCTGTACTTTACCATCTTGGTTATGTGTTTCCAAGCATCTCTCACTGGTCAAGATTTTTCTAAGACATTAATTCTATACACTAATTTAACTCTTTTCCATTTAGGTTTCATGTTATATGAATTAACTGAAATGTAAATTGCAATAGTTAGAGTAATACAAATATTTTCTAGGACAAATATTTGCAAGCAAGATAATTCTTTATAATTGAGGGAGGTATTGAACACAGTAAGTCTCATTGTCTCTCTACATTTGAATAGCATTAATGAAAGGGTTTTAAAAGCTATTTAACATAGAAAAAAAAGCTAATTAAATAGAAATCCTGACACTGACTGTATACTGTGAGAAACTCTATTATGACTGGAAATAAACACAATGTCAATAAAGTAATAACTACTATAATAACTTTGCTGAAAAAAAAGTATCTTTTCAAAACAAAGATCCACTTGACTAATTTCGGCAAGAAAGAGGTACTAAATAATGTCAGTGTTGTTTCCTCAGAAAACCACTTATAAATAAGATAGGATATGAAATGAAAAGTCGGTCGTGCTTTCCTAATTATTTTGCAGCCTAATCTCTGTATTTTGCAAAACCAATGCTTTCCCTGGGGTATCTCTAGACAGCACCAGCACCAACTGTAACACCCTGCTAGATTGCAATTACTGGGGGAGGCTCTTCCCTGGCTGCGGTGCTGAGGCTAAGGCACCACGTTGCCACCTGACTGCCATCTCACTGCTTTTTAGCACGCATGTTGCGATGAATAATGTAGCCTGGTCCCTCTTCAGGCTGGCAGCCTGGGATTTGACTACTGACAGCCTTTAATTAAAGGAAAGACATCCTTTCAGAGGAGTTTTGCAACCCTTGAGTCATTCTAACATCCTAACAGTTTACAACTCAAGTCCTGAGTTTAGAAAGTCCTGAAGAGTGAAGTGTCAAGATTTTGGTATCCATAAATGAGGTATGGCAAAAGCCTAATCTGTAGAATAAAAAGCAATGAATGAACAAAAGTGGTCCTGCACTCTCTGCCCGGCAAGAACATCTGTAATTATGTGCAGTAGCAGAACTGCAGGCACATAAGTAAATGTTTTTACCATAATATGTGTGGCTGGAGAATAACTAACAGTAGATCTGAGGCAAACATGAGCTGGTGCTGTGATCCAGGGGGGCATGAGTCAGTGCTGCCATAAAACATTGTGATGCTGCCTTAGCTCAGTCTCACCTCCAGCTAATATAGCTTAGCTTGGCATGGGTCCACTTCAGCTCGTTTGCATTCTGCTGGGGCTCTTCGCAGGCCAAACTTAATTGCACATGGCCAGTCTATCATGTAGATATATGCTAAGTGGCAGGTTTTTCTGCCTTGCTTTAGTGGATCAATACACTTAAATTCTGCCATTGCATATCAGACACCGAACTCACGTTTTAATAGTTATAGGTGTCTACCAGTGAAGGGTTAATTTAGTTTATTTATCCACATTTATTATGGCTTTTGCAAATTATGCTTAGATGATGTATAATGTCTCATTAAAAAAAAAAGTCTTTGTGGACTTGCAATATTCACCTATCTAGGTATAACATCGGTCTCTTTATTTTGTAATTTTAGCATTGGAATAATGCGAATAATTACTATTCGATTTGTGTGAAGCGGAGATGAAAGCACTTTATTGATGGAACCTGCAGCACTGGCAGAAAGGTGCAGCTGTTTTGCTAATTCATTGCCTGAGTTAGCCACTTCTCTTGTACCTGCTGGGTCTGAAAGCTTTTGCATCTCATCACCCCGCATTAAGCAGCCCAGTTGAATATGCTTCCTTTCGCAGCACTGAGTCCAGTGTTTTGAAGCTTATTAAAAAGTGCTGTTTTCTCACCCTAAACTTATAACAATGTTCTTAGACCACAGAGCATTCAGTCCCCTGTTTTTTAAAGCAGATAAGCACTTTTCCCCTACTTTTGTAATATTTACTGCTCAGTAAGACTGACTCTGCATTTCAGGGAAACCTCTTCACCTCGCTTCACAATATGAGGGGACACTGTCATAAGGTGCAATATCCTTGACAGTATGCTATAAACTGGATTATTCATAGGGTGACATCTCAGCCCTGTTGAAACCTAAAGACCTTTTCCCTCAATTTAACAAGGCTTTAAAATGCAAATATTACACTGAGCATATGCTTAATGTTCCTAAAAGCTGTTCTGATCTGAGACACGGGATCCAAGTGAAGGCCTCTAGCTGGCATGTCAGACATTTAGAGTTTGTCTGCTTCAGGATCCTTGCTCAGTTTCAGAATTATAGCATAATTTTACAGAAAGAGAGCAAGTCTTCCAAGCCACAAGGTTTAGTTAAGCTCTGAAGAACTACAGCTGGGAAATACAGAGCATAATGTTATAATTCGCCATAAGAAATAACTATGTCAGAAGAACAAAATCAGAGTCCACGCTTAGGAGATTAAAGCACATGAAAAAAAGTCCGAAAAGAATGTTAAAATATTGCACTGTTTTTCTTCAAGGTTATTATTAAAATAGACTATTTATGAACTTTTACTATTTGAGCTTGATATCTAGACAGCCATCATGCAAGCTAGCATCTACTTTGGTTAGGCTCTCAGATTTGGGATGAGAAGATCTCCTCCATCTTTTATCTCTGTGCACTAACCTAAATACATGAATCCTGCCTGAAAAGGTTAATTTAGATGAGTATAAGTCAGAGCATGCATGTAAGAATGATAGAGTTTCAGATCTTTTTCCTCTAGCAGCATCTATTAAACAAAGGCTGTTAGGAAAATCCCTAGTTTTAATATTGGGCCTGGCCCTGAAAATTCTTTCATCTGTCACACACAGTCAGAGTGAAGTCAATGGAATTTTGCAGGGTGCAAGTACAGCTTTTAAATCGTGAAGCTAAAACGTTTGTCACCAAGTCTTCCAAAGAATGAGTTTGAAGGTAAGTGGAAAAGTGCAATCAGTAGGTCTTACAGATTGGCCCTTTGAACAAAAGTTTTTGACATAATGGAGGGTTGCTTTACCAGAGCTGCCCTAAAGAGTGCCTTCAACACTGTTAGCCTGGTCTGCCTCACAGCTCACCCTCTTTGAGCAGGAGGTAGACTGGAGACCTCCTGAGATCCCTTCCATCATGACTTACGATCTTATGATGCTGATAAAGCTTAAGTGACCACCTTCTGTCTCAGTTCTTCTCAGTAGGGTGACAAAAAGGTTTGAGGACAGAAGTCTCAGTGAGGCCTCTACAGCATCATCTGCGAGATATCCCCTCTCTCCAGCCATGGTCACTGAGACCTACCCTAGCTCTTGATGGCCATTCTCTGTGAGGATATCTCTGACTTTCTCTTCAGCTGATAGACATACTCATCCAACAGTCACTGGGCTGGGGAATGCAGGACACTCCTCTGGCGAGGATCCTATCTTTCTGATCAACTGACAACAAGCTGTTTGGTAAGGAATCAGCAAGTTCATTGAATATTATTAGAACAAATTAGGATTAATTGGCCATACTCCTACATATAATACAGCTGTTGTCTGTAGAACTGGAAAAGTAAAATAACTGATTTAAAAAGCTGGATTTGAAAGCGTAATTTATATTGGTATGGTTGTCATGAAATTTTTGGCAGCTTTTTCTCTCTCACCGAACATTTCCTTAGGTCATGTACATGTAGGGACATGTACATTAGGAGACACAGCTGATTTTAAAGGCAGTGGACAACATGGACTGCATGGACTCTTCACCTCAGATCACAAAACCGGCAAGAATCACTCACAACACTGGGAAGTTTTGAAAATTTACATATTAGAAGCAAGGAAATCTTTAGCCTAGACAAGGTGGAACTACTCTATATGGGTGACAAAAGAGTATGATCAACTACCACCTTTCACACAAGGCTTCAATAACTAGAAACACAGAGCATTTCAAAATTAAGCAAATGTTCAAGCTAGGGCATTTCTCCTAACTTTAACAGGGCAAGAGACAAGGTCAGGGATATTTTCCTGGCTTGTATAATAATGAGGAAATGCATACGTTCAGCTTCAGCAATTTAGCAAGCCAAAAAACCTCTTCTTTATTTTTCTGTAACTGATCTCACTTTTTCTCCTAATAGCAGGCATTCTGTTTTTCACTGACTTTTATCTATTTTCCTTTCTTGAATAATTACATGAATGAACTCACTTTTGTACTACATCAAATGTAGTATCCCATTCCATCCATGCATCCCATTATTGTCCCTAATATGTATTTCCAGTTAATGATTTTCAACAATTAAATTAAAATCCTCTCTAGGATTCTGCATGAATCCTTTCCTCCAATGTTTTTGGCACTGTATCTTTCTAGCAATAGAAAGATAGCACAGAGACAGTCAGCTGCCTCTGTACCAATATTAATGTAAGTGAAAACTACACAACCCAATTTTCCATAACTTTTCCTACTGAAAAAAAACACCATTTTGGCATTTTGTATGTAGAAGAAAAAGCTTCTATGCAGGGCTTCTAGAAATCTTCTGAACATTCACAGGTACCACTCGACTGCATAGCACTGCTAAGTGCTCCAGGTCTCTGAAACTCAGGTCATTTTAATTTATTCTTCAACAATGAGTTTGAAAAAACTATCCATGAT